TATAATGTCGAAAACTTTGAATTCGAGAACTAGTTAAATTTCTGGAATAATTCCAGAAAACCGGAGTGAAAAACTCTGAAAAACCAAACAGAATGAGACCACAGAATTGCCTTAATCGGACCAAAGCCTGCTCGAAATCGTAATCGGAATGGGCCCCAAGTTCCCACTTTCCTTCCCTTTCTTTCTTTTTCTTCTTTTCTTCCCTTCCTTTCCCTCTTTTTCTTTCTTTTCTTTCCCTTCCTTTCCCTCCTTCTTCTTCCTCGCGCGACAGCACCCTCCTCCCTCTCCTTTCGATCTCCGACCACCACTCGACCAAAACGGAGTGGCGATCGGTTCGTCCGACGCCAGTGGTCTCAATCCCAGCCTCCCTTCACGTTGAACGGACCTGCAGCGGCGCGGATGGAGCTTTCTCCCACGCGACTGTCTCCTCTTCCATCTTTGGCGATCCACACCATTTCCGGCGGCCCCAGCGGAGGAAGCGGGTATTAATCGACTCTCTACCACGCTGTGAGTGAATTTCCTCTAACAATTTGTGGATTTATCGATGTTTTGAGGAGCAACCTTGCGTGGAGGAGATGCAGCGGCTGTCGAGCCCGATCCGGCCAATCAAGGACCGACCTCACTAAATTAACGCCAAAAACGGACTCCTTGGTGAATTTTGAGTTGAATGATGTGATCGTTGCAAATTTCTGGGAAAGGATGATTTTCTGGCCACCGTACACGGCGGTCGGCGGCAGCGGTCCGGTGACCGGTCGGCGACACTCCGGCGAGGCCCCGAGAGACAGAATGCTCTTCTCTTCGCGCTGATCGTGGAATCGTCGCCCGATTCTCGATTGGTATGTTCTAAGACCAGTTTCTTTATCTTCGGTATAAATTATAAACTTAGTAAATATTAGTTAATTAAATTGAATTTAGATGAATAATCAAACAAATATAATTTTGTTCAAAATAAATTTTTGAACAAATATAATTTTGTTAAGAAGCAATCGGTATAATATTGATGTAAGCTAATTTAGGAACTTGGATAAATATTGTTAGGAGAAGTTATAAATTAAGGCCTAGACAAGTGAATAGTTTTAGAGCAATTAGTAGTATCATTGACTTATGTGTGGAGGTTAAATAAATAGCTATTTTTCACTTATTTGCTTATTTATTTATTTACTTAATGTTATATAATAAGTTGAAGCTTGACATTGACGATTAAATGTTGATGTGATTATTTTGGACGGAGGAAGGGAAATTAATTTGTTTGATTGCCCGATGGATGGGCTGTGTGTGTAATGGTTGATGGGTATAATATTGTTGATATTTAAGCAGGTAGATAATCTTAAGCAGGTAGATAATCCCATTTTTAGGGGAAATGCTGCCGAAATTTCGGTAGAATTTAGATTAGTGTTAATTAACAATATAATTAATAAGTTTATTTAAATAAATTCTATAATTTGGTACATAATAAATATAGTGTTCTGATTATTTATTATTTTTATTATTCATTTAATTATTTACATATTTATTTATTTATTTTCATTATTATTGTTAATATTGTTACTCATTTTATTATTGTTGTTAACTGCTAATACTATTTATTTAATTATTTATTTGCATTGATTATGGATGTTTAATTGCGCATTGCATAACGATGTTTAATTGATTAATATGTCTGCATTTGATTGCAATGTTTGATTAATTGTGTTGTGATATTGCTGTGCTTTGCTTGTGTGGAATTGGGGATTGAAGTGTCACCAGTTAGGTTTGTTGAGGGACGTCGAATAAAGAATAGGATCCTGATTTATTGATTGAATTATGAAACTTGGACCGTCCGGCCGGGTAAATGGGATATCGGCGCCCCCGTGTGCACCTTCTGTTACCGTTACTGTTAAACCCACAGGTTTGGCTTTCTTTATTGGGCCGCACCTTGATAATCTAGATTTGATCGCAGCTGCCGCAAGGGTGGCCTCCTGTTGTGAGCCGTCTGATGGATCATAGATTTGATGGAAGACCGGAGTTGCCTCTGTGGTTTATTGAAAAAGAAAAGAGAGAGATAGAAAAAAACATTGAGAGGCGAGTCAAGTTAGGATTAGATCGGTTCGGCGCTTAGTATGGGAGACGGCTCCCTGGCACATGTTGAGATGGATGAGCCATGTGGTGAGGACGGCTCATCGGGGGTTCGGTGACTCCAACTGACAATTTCCATTGAGGATTAGATTGAAGATGTTAATGATTGTGCCAAGAGTGCCGGTGATTTTGCCATTGTACTGACTAATTTCCACGTGATGTGATTATATGAAGATGTTAATGATTGTGAGTGCCGGTGATTTGCCATTTGTATGACTGGCTGCGTGAGCATAAAACTAGTCGGACGACTAGATTAATATGTTTACATATTTGTGTGACTGCTTGATTAAACGAATTTTGATAATACCTAATGTATTAGGGTGGATCAGTTGATCATAAGTCTTCACGTGACACATTTGATTAAACGAATTTTGATAATTTGTAAGTCAATTTGTTATATGATTTATTTAATCTATATCATAAACGAGTGAATCCATTTATGATACAAACTCGTTAAGTCTTAACTATAACTCTTAACTTTATAGTTGTATTCAACAATAATTTTTTTAAATAGCTTTTAATCAAAATACTAAACGCTTTTCATAATAATTAGCAGTTAAACAGTACTAAAACAATTAAACAAACAACAAAAACAATTAATTTTATCAAACAAATCGTAATGTGTTCGGCAAGAAATTTCTTAGAGTCTACATTTCAATTATAGATCTATGTATGAAATAAAGTCACAGCTTACGGTTTTCCTACTTATTTCTTATTAACTATTTTATGTTTTCCATGGTTAAAGATAAGAAACTTATATGCTTTATACCACATCAGTTTTCCACCCACTCAATGAAATAAACGAGTCCGTAGTTGCTTTAGACAAAATTATTGATCTGATGAGACAAATGCTTTAAGAAAACTATAAAAAAACAAGTTAGTCAAAAGCAAGATGCTTTAGTTTAGACAAAGTGAGAGTGCATTCTACTTTAGAATCAAGCGGGACATGTCTTTTATTCCATTATATTTCGTATAATTCACCTTATATTTATTAGATTTTTTTCTGTTTTAGCATATGCTTTTTGCTAACCGTTTCAAAGGGTCAAACTTGACACTTCACACTAATATTCTTTTTAAAAAAACTGACAATAGTATTTGGGTGAGCGTAAGACCCTGAATCAATAGTAAAGAATATTTATCTACCATTCCACTAGCCCAAATAAACCCAAAGCCCACTTCATAATTCGGCTAATATATAATCAGGTAAAATCCAATAACTTTTTTTTTAATATAATAAATATAGTAGAATTTTATTAAAAAACTTCAAATCAATACAAAATAATATTTGAAGTTGATGATCTCTTTCCTGAATATCAGACAAAATTATTATGTAATTATTGTTGGCTGATCAAATCTTAATAAATAATATCTTGGTAATGGTCCAAACATATATATATATATATATTTTTTTTTTTTTTTTGTTTCTCTGAAAATAAGGTGGTGGCCAAAATAAAACTAATGGATAATTGGGAATTCATAACTTTTTTTTTTTTTTTCTTCTGAAAAGGGGTCCAAATAAACTAATGATGAATTGGAATTCATAACAAAAAATTGATGGAAATCACACATTATAACAAGTATACTGTAAAGAGTTTGACATATACAACAAAATAAAGATATGAAAATCACAAATTTTCAATACAATGACTACTAGTAGCTGTTATGAACTTAATCAAACAGCTCGTTAAGCCTACTTATGATGACTGATATATTTTTGCGTCTCCAGATCTTCTACGATGCGTCTCCAGATCTTCTAGGAAATCCTCAACATAAAAGATTGTACTCTTCTCCAAAACAGCAGCATTCATTAAAAAGTATCCAAGGCAATTTACCACTTCTACGTTCCTGCTAAAGTTGCAGATCTGAAGGACTGGAGCGGTACGATGATAAGATTTTTCAGTGTCATGCATGTTGATATACCTACCTGGTAAAAACTAATGGACTGGTCAACTAACCTAGAACCTAAATTTTCTAGGATTCAAAATATTAAGAATAACTAAATATTCACTCTTCAAAAGGCTATCTTATCAATTTTCCAGAGATTCTAGATTAGGTAATTTATGAAGAAAGTGTAACAACCTCTGTTTAATGTAGATGTGATAAAATTTTATTTCCACATTTTGGAAAACATCTGCGCAAAGGCTTGAATATTTTCTGCATACTCGAGCAAAAAACAACAGACATGCAGTGTCCCTAAATGAATTATTGAAATTTAAAACAAAATACAAACCCAAAAATGGAAAAACAATGCTATATGCTACTTTTGTTCACTTTTCTATTATTTCTTATTTTAAATTTAAAGAAACTTCTTTTATTCTTTCCTTCTTTCAAATTTAAGCAAATTTAAGAAACTTGAGTGAAAGATAGTAATCGGATTGCAAAGCCTTGTAAGGTTATATGACAAACAAATGTTAGGATTAAACGATAATATTTTTTTTCTCTTCTCATAATAGAACTTTATATATTTTTTTAAGGTAACTAAAATAGAAGTGATTATTGTAATAACTAAATAACAAGAAAATTTGAGTTTTGTTCAATTTTATTTTAATAGGAAGAATTAGTACGTATAGGTATTGTTCGGCAGATATTAATTATTTTAATAAATTCAAAGGTGTAATCTTTAAAGCATTCGATTCAGTAGAGTGAGATTTTTTATCCCAATGATGGAAAAAATGGATTTCGTGCAAAGTGGAGAGCTTGGATAATCAAATTAACTGAGAAGTTTTAGACTTTTTGTCCTTGCAAATGACTCTCTTATCATAGAATTTCGGATGAAGAGAGGTCTCAAAAAAGAAACCCTCTCTCTCCTTTTCTTTTTCTAGTAGTTGCTGAAGGCTTGAATCTATTAATTCAGAATTCTATCTTGAAGGGTCATTTATCTGGAATAGAAATTGGCTCTGATCGGATACTTGTCTCTCATCTACAATTTGCAGATGATTCTATCTTCTTCAACTATGCTGATAAGGATCAAATCTCTAATTTAAAAATTGTTATCTTTTATGTTTTCAACTCTTTATTCGTCTCAAGATAAATTTTCACAAGAGCCAACTATTTGGCAGTCAACATCAATGAGGATGAACTGAATTGCTAAGCCTCTTATCTTCAAATGCCAATTTGGAAAATTTGCATCTGAGTATCTAAGTACTCCGATCAGATGTAACCCCAGATTGATCAAGACTTGGCAGCCAGTCATTCAAAAATGGAAAACAAGCTCTCCTCTTGGATGGGAGGTAAGATAACTCTTATAAAATCTATGCGTTCTTCTCTACCTCTCTATTAGCTATTTCAGGGCAGCAGAGGTGGTCATCAAGAGGATTGAAAGCATTCAGAGGCGATTCCTTTGGGGCAAAAGCATTGAAGGAGAAAAATCATTGTGTTAGATTGCTTGGAAACAACTGGATTGAACAAAAGTGAGGTTGTGTTGGACTCCATGATTGTAAAATGAAAAACTCAGCCTTACTTAGAAAGTGGTGGTGGAGGTCTAAAATAGAAAGTGGGTTCTTATGAAAAAAAAGGTCTGAGTCCAAACATAGCAAGGAGGTATTGACTAATGATGTTTCAGAAAGTAATTTATGGAGAAAATTATCCCTATCCTGGAAAGACATCATTCATCTTGGGTCACAATCTTCTTCTTCTATCGATTTTTTATCAAACGACTTTAGATGGATTGTTGGTGATGTGGAAACATTAAATTCTGGATTGATATCTCATCATAAATTCATTTTTTTTAAATCTCAATTCCACACATAAATTCATATCATCATAATATATTCTAAGAATATACTCTCTCCTATTCATTTATATAGACACAAATAACTTTGCACAAGGATTAAAAAATAAGGTAAATCGTAATTTTTGACCAAATTTTTTCTATTTACCTTTAACATTGCATTAATTGAATGTTTATTTTGAAAGTTAAATATATCATGCCAATTTATTCTCATAAACACAATTGATGACCTATACCTATAATTAAAGGATGAAGTATAGCAAAATTCCACCTTTTTTCCCAATTAACGCTAACTTTTATATTCTAATCAAAATTTTAAATTTGGTCTCCCATTTTTAGTGCGACAATTTTGGTGAGAAATCAAAGGCTAAACGAAATATTTACAAATTTAATTTTGGGGCCAAATTTTTTATAGCATTAATTGTCTCTTTAAATTCTTTCCAGTTTATATCCCTTCGACCGAACCTGCAACTTGCTGATTTGCCCACAATTTCAGAAAATGTGCTCACTCCTACTATTGGTCCCTTGGAATTGATCAATTTAAATGCAGAAGAAAATATACAGTCATCAAATAATGATGAAGAGCTTGAATTCACATAATGCCCTTCGGGCATAATTACTTGTATGAAGAAGGGAGCACAAAAAAAAAAAAAAAGAAAAAAGAATATGACAAAAGAAATAAAAAATTTAGTGAAAATATGCTCTTTTTAGAATACAAAGAGCGTTAAATTTCCTCTTCATCGAGAAAATTGCATACACATTATTTATTTCAAAAGGGTCGGTTTACAGAATTTGACATATTGCAAAGAATGATGCACAAATTACAAATGGACGAAGAGTCTTTGGAATGGAGATAAAAAGCTTGTTGTAATTTCAACGGACAGAATACCACTCAGACGTTGAATGAACCAACAGTCACTAGCACATAAATTGCATGTATCTTTAACAATAATGCACAGAATGTTAAAAAGAGATGACATTATTCCACACTCGAAGATAATTAAACAACTACTTAAGGAAGAGAACCAAAAAACAAGAGTTGAATTTTGCTTGTTCATAATTGTTACAATTACAATCACTAGCAATCCATCTTTTATCAACATGCATGACACAATCTACATAAATAAGAAGTAGTTTTTCATGTGCAATGAAACTCAAAAAATTTATCTTTTAAATGATGAAATACTACCTATACGCACATGTAAGAGCAAGAGATTAACTCCAAAAATTATGTTCCTTATTGCAGTTGCACGCCCTAGGTTTGATTCTAATTCTCAAATTCAATTTGACGGAAAGATAGAAATATGGCCATTTATTTACACTGCTCCTGCTAAAAGAAATAATAAGAATCATACAATGGTCACAATAGAGACAAAACCTATTCTGTCAATCACAAAGGTAGTTATTCATGGTTGCCTTATCAACAACTTATTGCCTTCTATCAAAGAAAAATGGCCAACACATACTTCTAATATATATTTATTCAACAAGATAAAGTTAAACCACATATATATGATGGAGACGTTGAGTTTGCAAATATTGCAAAAGAACTTGGTCTAAATATATATTTGGTAGGCCAACCTCCTAGTAGTCTAGACTTGAACGTCCTGAACCTTGGTTGTTTTAGAGCCTTTGACTCAATAAAACATCAAGAGGCTCGTACCAATATAGATCAACTAGTTTTAGAAGTTATTAAAGCTTTTGATGTTTTTCCTCTAAGTGACATAAACAAAGTGTTTTGGACTTTACAGACGTATATGGTTAAAATATTGAAATGTTCTGGAAGGAACAATTACAAAATTTTCCACATGTCCAAGCTTAGTTGGATAAGAAACGGTACTTTGCTTACTATAATTAAAGTTAATGCAAGAATAGTCAAGGAAGCAGCAGTAATAGTGTAATATCCTATTGTGAACATATTTGCCATGTGAGAGCAGTTTCATATGCTTTAAAAGTAAATGACCCCTTTAATAGTTCAAAAAATGTGGTATTTTCGTTTAAAAAGTGCACCAATTATCTTTGTAAAAAATTACTTCAAATCATCTTGTGGATAATATAAATATGTGCTCAAACATTGCAAATATGGGTGGTTTTATATCGAGTACTGCATATATATTATCAATACACGCATTTCTTCCATCTAACTATATATAAAAAAAAATAAGCAGTAGCCTGTGTTAAGTAAATGTGTGCAAATTAGACATCAAAATACACCATAAAATAAGTATGTGCAATTACAAAAATTGAATGCTAATTATACTACAAAATGTGTCCACTTTCAAGTCATTGTTCACATATACAAAATCACATTGAAGCCAACAAACACATAGTTGGAACAAAACAAAATCGATACACAAAAACACAATATAAATGCACAAATATGGACACTTTAACATAATTTCAAGCTAAAAACAGAAAACAATGTTTCAATGTGTCTTTCATAATCTCACTTGCGTTTGGGAGTTCATCAACAGAATCTATTAATAATTTGTGTATCATAGGATCTTGAATGTCAAGCTGTGTCTCATCTTCATCTACTGTTGTTGTAGTTTCAGGATACTTTCCTTTTTCATTGTCTACATCATGAGATTCATCATCATCATTATCTCCTGCTTTGTCCCCCTCTGCTCCAGTATGAGAATTATTTTTCTCCTTCCCCACACCTTGAGGAGTGTTAGGTACTTCAATTATATTGATATTACATTGTACAGAATTTTTCAACTCTATCACCTCTGCTTTAATTTCTTAAATTCGTGCTTTGGTATCATCAACTTTTTCATCCAATTTCTGCACTAATTCAAAAACTGCATTCATTTTCTTCATAAATTCAGATGACCATTTTGTATTTGATGGTAGCCCTTGTAGCCCTTTTTGGAATGTTGACCACCTGTTTTAAAGTCATTTTCTCATATCTAGTTTTCACTCTATGACATCATTATCCTCGTCACACTTCACAAAAATCCACCACTTATCTCTAGTCTTCACAATATTATAAAAGTTCAGATGTCTGCCATTAATTATTTCAATTGCTCTAATATTGTTTACATATTCTCCATTAACATCAACTCCAGCAGCCACAATGCACTTTGAATCAACCTTGCATAAGGCAAATGAATGCAACTTTTCTTGACTTTATACCTTTATGCCCTCATAATCTTATGATTGTGTGCAATATTCTTCAAAATTATGCCCACTAAACTAATTGGTACATGCTTAATATAAACCATAAAATAAATTTTTCGCCTTCAGTAACATTATCCTTGCTATCATATTTGGGCAAAATGTTTACACATATAATTAAATGAAGCAATTTAAGAATTGTCTTCATCTTAGTTCTAACAAGCTCCTCATTTGCACGATCTTGTGCCAAGAACTTCTCTTCAAATGCAAAAACATCATAACCTTCAGGGTATTCAACGTCCTCAATAACAGAATCAAAACCACCAAAATAAATCTTACCAACACATTGTAAAACACTCGCATTGGTCTTAAACTTAATATCTTTAGCAATTGACACCACATTAATCTTTTCTCTGTCGTCTCTTTTCATGTTCTCTACATACAAGTTTACATAAAATAACCTAACTAATTGAGGGTATACCATACTCTCCATTGACATACATCGTCTTATAAGTCCATCAAAACAAGGTTCTAAGTCCAACCCAAGATCCTTTAACTTATCAAACTCAACATTTTTTCCAATCAATAATTTTTCATGATTAACAACTTGGTTGTAGTATTCTTTTCAGGATCAAGACCTAAACTCATGATCATACCTGTCTATATACTTCGCACTGCTTTCCTCATCATCAGTTCATCAGTTCCTCTTCTTTTGATTCTTCTGATTCAGTGGACTCGATATCTTCCTGAATGATTTTCTTTTTTTTTTTTTCTTTTTTTTTTTGCTGGTTTTATGGAGGATTGCGAAAATTTATTTTCGGGAGAGGCAATTTTCAAGAAGGAAGTTTGTTTTGAGGTCACAGATTTGATTCCATAACCCTTTCTTTTCTCCTTAGCAACAGAGATACCAACTGATTTTCCTAATCTTTCGCTATTTTTTTCTTAATAGATGAAACCTTACTATCTTTCCCCATTTTCCGTCTTTTAGTTGTGATTGCAGTTTTCTTGTGTTTAGGTTGTGATTGCAGTTTTCTTGTGTTTAGGTGACATTTATAAGTGGAATCTGTCATTTGATAACAATCTCTAAGGTTGCAGTTGGTGGAAGAGGCGAATTTTTGGAGATGAAAGCGGTCAAGGATTTTCTAACTGAAATCCCAAATTTTCTAAAGGAAGAATTTATAGAAACATTTTTTTCGTTGCCGTTTTCAAAAAGAACATTTAGAAAAGATTTGGTGAACAATCTTCTATGCCCCACTTATATATCCCATGCTCATTTTTTGACAATTTATTGACACAATTAATTTGTGATAAAAAAATACTCACTAAACATCAAAACTATCTGCAGTTTGGCTTGAAATGGAGAGAGAAAGATAACACAGCTATGCACTAATAACATGCAATATTTGAACTGTCTATCACTTTCTTGTTTTTCTCTAAAAAGTTAATACTCTAAACGAAGCAAATCAAGAGTAATTTAGACTTTACCCTTTAGCTATAGTCCAAAATAAGTAACTTCGTCTATATAATTAAAACGATGAAAATAGAAACTTTATCTATATATTTTCTATATCTATATAATGAATCGAAGAGAATGTCTGAAATTGCTTAAAAGTTGGTATTGCTCTTTATTTGTTATATAAATGAAGATGCTAAACTATGTCATGGAATATTATGAGAATCGAATTGCAAAGCCAACCCACTGAAGAGAGACCCTTGATTTATACTACTTCCAACCAAAGAATCAAAACTAGACTTTTGAGTTCCAACGTGAGGCAAGGCCATGAGATACGATTTGTACAGCTCACTAGCAAATGTCAATAACATAGTGACAGACACATTGCAAGATTCTGGTAAGTTCTCTGTTTTCATACAAATAAACCCAACTAATATCATCAAATTAATACTACTAACAATTCATTATTTTGATACTATGTCAATGCCCTTCAAAAATCCTTAACGACTGCATATAACTTCCTACTGATCAACTTTTAGATGATTCGTAACATAAGCACTGAATCTTAATCTGCTAGCCCTCTTAAGTTGCATGAGTAAAGTTCCCCCTTATTTATCGTCAAAGTCAATTAAGTCAATTAGGCATTCTAATTGTCCTCAATAAAAAATAAAAAAAAAAAAAAAAAAAAAAAAAAAAATCATGCCCTTCAAAAAATCATAACGACTGTCATATAATTCCTACGATCAAACCTTCCTTAGATGATTCGTAACATAAGCACTGAATCTTAATACTGATCCTATATAGCCCTCTTAAGATAGCTAATAGTAAAGTTCCACCTTATTTATCGTCAAAAGTACATTAACGTCATTAGGCATTCTAATGTCCCTATCATAAAAATAAAAAAGAAAAAAAAAAAAAAAAAATATCATAATATGAGGTGTTGGCCTAAAAAAAAAAAAAAAAAAAAAAAAAAAAAAAAAAAAAAAATATCATAAATATGAGGTGTTGGCCTAAAAAACAGAAATTATGAACACTAATTATCAATAAACCAGAATATTGTCAGAGAAATTAGGTAATAAACCAGCAATTCTCACCAACAAATGAACAAAATAAGAGAAGAATTGCAAACACACACCCACTATATCACTCATGATTTTTAATACAGAAGTACTCAATCGGGCAAGATTATGCATTAGTTGGAATTCAGAAGAAATGGAAATGGAAATATGCAGACTGCTTACGCCCAACAAAAAATGTCAAAACACAGGAAAAACTAAGAACAATTTCCCAATGAACAAGAACAATTTCCTGATGTCACATTAACCACTTGCAAAAGTACAAACAACCACTATTTATAAGACCAACATTGCATGCAAGAACAAAGAGTCAAATTCAAATTCCAACATCACAGGTCCCCATAAAAAGCGTAAAGAAAGACACTAGTTCTTACATGCGAGCCATAATAATGGTAGAAAAGTTCATGTACACCACCAATCTTAAGACTCAAGAGACACTTGGATAACTTTGTAAATCCTGGCTGGCTGTCTTTCTAAAGTCACACTTCATTTCTTCCCCCGGAGCTTCACACCAAGAGCCCTCTCAAGCTTGCTTATTATTTGTTGATTAGGTATTGCTTTTCCAGACTCATACTCTTGTATTATCTGAGGCTTTTCATTAATCAACTGCATGAAACCACATTTTGTTAACAAACTCCCCAAGCTGAGAAGATTAAGATTTTTATGAACATGAGACAGATAAATACCTGAGCAAGTTGAGACTGGGTAAGTTTCTTGTCCATTCGAGCTTGCATGATGGCTTTTTTCAGTTCAGTGGGCACTCGTCCATCTAACAAGAAAAGGAAACTAGGGTTTTTCAGAATGCTTTCAATGCTCAGAAATAGCACATCTTGAAATAATTTTTTCCAATAGGAGAGTATATTGAAGTAGAAAAGGATATGTACAGCAAGTTATCTTTAAGATAGTGTAAGAGAAGGTAACAATACATGAACTGCATTAGGCACATGAATATATCATAATGATCATATCAACAACAATAGGTGACAACAGAATTGTCGCAAAATTTGAAAAGCAAAATCAACTTAAACATCATGATTGAAGGCTACGCTATTCATTCCAGAGATGGCTACTGAAAAGAAAAAAAATAGAATACAACAAAATTTTCAACTCCATTTAGCTTTCCTGCCTAAAAATTCAATGATAAGCAAAGATAGATTCACAAACTTCACCATATAAAATGAAAAGGAAATGGCAAAGAGAGAGAGAGAGAGAGAGAGAGAGAGAGAGAGAGAGAGAGAGAGAGAGCAAGAGAGAGAGAGAGAGAGAGAGAGAGAGAGAGAGAGAAGATAAGCTGAGATGCTTTAGCCTTTATGTTAAACCAGTTTAGTCAAAAGTGCAACGAAGCGCTTTCTTAAGCGCCGAAGCACGGAGCAACAAGTTGAGTAGCACCTTCAAATATCAAAAGCAAGGCCCATTCAATGAAGCAACGCTTTTGGCAATTAAGCGCACACCTCATATAAAGCAGAAAGAAGGAACGGCCCACTCATAGGGGTTTTCAGAAGTCCTAAAAAATAACACTTCTAGAGTCTTTTCACTTTCTTATGATGCTTCGGTGACAACTTTCACTTTTCAATTAAACTTGAACTCTTGGAGATCATTCTTCCAGCAGCCAGGTACATATATTTTAATGGCAATTCTTCTTTGTAAGTCTTTCTTCTTGTCAAACTCCATTTTCCATTACTGAATTCTTTTTGCTTTTGTTTCCCTAATTCTTCCTTCGATGAAGCAACCACTTAGTTTGCATTATCCACTTAAGCAATGGGTGCTACATCGGTTGAGTGCGCCTTGTGCTTTTAACTACCTTGTGTTAAACCCAAGGAAAGGTGATGACAGAAAGGTTAAACCCTGTTATTGAACAAATCAACCATCTCATTCTTCCAATCAATGGCTTGATTAGTATGCAAAATTATTTTACATTGGCTTTGCTCACACATAGCAAAACAAAAATAGAAAACCATAAGCACACATGAGCAATACTATGAGACCGAGATGTATGGAAAAAGGGTTCTTTCACTGCAAAGGTACGATTACTACAATTCCTATTCATCCATCATATGATTGGTCAATCAAATACATGGCCCAACTACACTATGAACAAAAGAGAAGCCACAGAAAATCATTCTCATCGTGCATATACCTGATGAAATTACAAGAAAAAAAAAAAACTCACGAGTTAGATTCTCTGTTTCTTCATCAAGCTTCCTCGTGTTTAAGGTAGTGCTGCTAGAGGCGGCCTTGTTTGTACCAGCATTGGCTGCAGGTGACATTGAAATACAAAGACTTGTAAAAAAAGTATCAATCAATTACATGACACATACCACCTCCTTTCTACCAGCTTCAGCTATTATTCAAGGTCCCAGAACAAATAAATCCATAAAAACTTACCGTAATAAGGAATATATGAATAGCTGTTCATTTTAGTTTCTCTACTTGTATAATAGTGATCAATGTCAAAATAATGTGTAAACAATCTGACCACTGAATGCTATGACTAGTTACACGAAATCTAGTTATGGTTGAATAGTATTAATTAAAATAGTTTGAAAACGAAAAAACAAATATCAGAGTAAGAAACCCTAATCCCTTAAAACCACAAACGGAAAAGAAGAACCTTATTCCCTTAGCAACAACTGACCGTTTATAGATCCGAAACCTTAATTCGCTTTCCAATGAATAAAAAAGAACCTAGCACTAGCATCAAAATCATAAAAGTAATGTCAACAAAGAAATCATCGATTCGATTGATCAATAGAAGTAAGCTAAAAAAAATAAGTTAAGAAATCTGAAATAAAAAAAGAAAAGTAAAATCTGAAATAAAAAAAAGAAAAGTAAAATCTGAAATTTGAAAAAAAAAAAAAAAAAAAAAAAAAAAAAAAAAAATTTGAAAAAAAAAAAAAAAAAAAAAAAAAGCAAAGGTATACATTTTTCAGAGTTCGATCTCGGCACCGGCGCAGGGCGGGCAGCGTTAACGACCTTCTCAAAAAAAAAAAAAAAAAAAAAAAAAAAAAAAAGCAAAAGGTATACATTTTTTCAGAGTTTCGATCTCGGCACCGGCGCGGCGGGCAGCGTTAACGACCTTCTCGTCCTTCTTAGCGGCGGCTGTAGGAGCCTTCTTGCGGATAACTACTGGTTCCCAGTCCTGTGAGATTGGTCCAACTCCAGACATCTTTCTCTAACAATTTTCTCTTTTTTCCCTCTTTGATTTAAGATAGCTTGTATCTTAGGATAAATAATGCGCTCTCTCCTCTCTCTCCTGTCCGCTTTATATATGGTGCAAAAATAGCAGAATATAATCACTGAATGACGTGGCACGATAACCCCTACCCTAACCCTTCCGGTCAGGTACTTGGGCCTTGGGCTGGTTTGTTTATAGCTTTCAGCTTTGGGCTTGTTCACCTAAACTAACGTCATAAATCAAATTTCTAGTGTTGAGAAATTTATAAAACTAGCATTTACGAATTTAGTTTTTTTTATATACGTTGAACGTTTTTATTACTCGGTTATTATTATTTTCATGATATTAAATATTGATTATAATTATTTTTTTTGGTGCTAACAAGAGCGAGACCTAACAAGGACAACGTCGAATAGAGGCTAGGCCTCTACAATCATACGCCAGCCAATCACCAAGACCTGGAGGAGGATCATCCGGCACTTGGAAACCCAAGGACAAAGAAGAAGCATACGAGGCAAGCCAGTCTGCGCAATAGTTAGCCTCACGAACCACATGCGAGATACTAAAGTACGGATGATTATGAAGCAGGAGAGAGATATTCCTTACCAAAGCTCGACCTGAACCAACGCCAGCCACCGAAACCAACACCATACTGACAGCCAAAAGATTATCACTCTCAATGAGAATATGCGAAAAACCATAAGAAATGGCCAATCTAATACCTGCAGGAATAGCCCATAGTTCGGCCCCCAACCCAAACGTGACTCTTATATGAAAAGCAAAACCTGTTTTCCAATGGCCCAAACAATCACGAATAAGGCCACCACCATAAGCTGACCCCCTTGCACAGGTAAAGCACCATCGGTGTTAAGCTTAAAGTAGGAGGCTCAAGGAGGGGACAGGCTAATCCACCAGTCACAACGAGCCAAAGAAGGCTGATCCAAAGAGAGCCTAGTGTCCAGCGTAACACAAGAAGAGGCTAAGCTCTTAGCACTCAAGAGGATAGCAAAAACATCTCGACCTGCAGAACTAAAAATAATGGCATTTCTGTTCTTCCAAATCAACCAGCCAGTGATACTAAAAAGAATTGACCAAGGAACGTCCATAACACTAAAATCCAAAGAAGATAAATTCCAACTGACCCAATCTTGCACAGACCAAAATTCTTAGAAAAAAGAAGGCCAATACTGCCGCGGTATAACACAATGCCAAATTCCAGCAGCATGCAAGCAATCCCTCACAGCATGAAGGGAGGATTCCTCAGTAATGGAACACAAGGCACAAAGGCTGGAAGTGGACAAATGCCTACGACGACGCTCAAGATTAGTGAGAAGCCGATCATCAGAAAGAATCCAGAGAAAAACGCGAACCCTTTAGGGACCAGGCCATTTCCACACCAGCTTCCAAATAAAGTCAGAAGAAACAGAAGGAGAAGATGCTAACAAATCATAAGCAGACTTAATAGTAAAGCGCCCTAAGGAAGAAAGACCCTAATACGGCTCATCAGGGCCCATCTCCGACGAAGGAGGCAGAACGGCAGCAATGCGAGCTAGAATATCAGGAGGCAGAAGAGAGCATAAGATTGTCCAATTCCAATTGCCATCAAAGCCTACATATTTGTTGATAGTCTCTCTAATCATTGAGCATGAAACAACAGAAAGAGCAATAGAGTTCAATCTCAGACCTGCCTCTAACCAAAAATCTTGCCAAAACAGAACAAATTGACCATTACCCACCGTCCAATCCCTTTACAAATAAAAGAAGACGAGGGGCGATCAAAAGCGGCACTATCCAAGGAATTATCCAACTTATATTTCGAACAAAAAACCCGAACCCAAAGAGCATCCTTGTCAGAAATAAGACCCCAAGCCAATTTAATAAAGAAAGCTTGATTAAGCATAGCTAGATTCATAAAACCCAGCCCACCCGCAAGCTTAGCAAGCAAGATTTGATGCCAAGTAACTAAAGAAAGCTTGCGAGAAGTATTATTGGAGCCCCAAGAAAAACTCCGACAGCTTTATTCAATTTTATCACAAAGAGATAGAGGGAGCTGAGTAGTCTGCATAAAGTATATAGGCAAAGCCGCAATGACCGATTGAGCTAAGGTAATGCGGCCTGCCATCGAAAGCTGAGAAGCACTGCAACCAAAAAGCTTATGAGAGACAGTATAGAATATGCTGGTAGGTGCCTGTAGTAACCCGATTATGGAGAAGAGGCATACCTAAGTACTTACCAAAGTCAATCACTTCCTTATATCCCAAGGAGGATCATAGGAGACGATGCATAGGTGAAGCAACACTTTTGGAAAAATAAACTGTGGTTTTAGAAGCATTAACTCTTTGACCCGAGCATGCGCAAAAATCCTCAAGCACGCCCTTGATATTAGCAACCTGATTCTCAGTAACTTCAGCAAATAAGAACAAATCATCAGCCAAAAAGAGGTGAGTAAGCAAAGGACCCTCTATTCAAAGAAATAGGCTTTCATTTTGCCTTGATCCATAGTAAGTGAAATAAGATGAGCTAATCTTTCCATGCAAATAACAAATAGAAAAGGAGACAAAGAGTCCCCTTGCTTCAGCCCACGAGAAGGAAGAAAGGTTTCCTTACATTCTCCATTCTAGAGAATATGCATAGAGGACAAAGAGACACAATTCATAATAATATTAGTAAGGCCTTCAGGAATCCCCAAGTCCATTAATGAGTCCCTAAGGAAAGACCAACGAATATGATCATAAGCTTTTTCTAAATCCACTTTGATAGCCATGAAACCCTTCCGCCTTGTCTTACGCCGCATCGAATGGATAAGCTCCTGAGCCACAATAATATTATCAATAATCTTACGGCCAGGCACAAAACTAGTTTGAGTAGGTCCAATAACCGTGGGAAGAAAACTCTTGAAACGATTCACAATGACTTTAGTAACCAATTTATAAACCACTGAACATAAGCTTATAGGACGAAATTGAGAGATATTAACTAGATTAGCTAACTTAGGAATCAGAACAGTGCTAGTAGCATTCATCAAAGAATCAATACAACCTCCTACAAGAACTTTGCGCACCTCCCTAAAGACAGTAGACGAAATATGGGGCCAAAATTTCTAAAAAAAGCCTGTATTGAGCCCGTCTGGGCCTGGGCTTCCCAAGGCTTCAACTAATAATTTTGAGAATTTAATTAATTATATTGAAGTAAGAAATTAAGTATTTTTTTATTTTATATTTATAATTTATTATAAATGACTGTTTATTTATTTGTAATTGAAGTAAGAATTAAGTATTTTTTTTATTTTAATATTTATATTTATAATTTATTATAAATGACTGTTTATTTATTTGAAATATTAATATATTACTTATTCAGTTTAGTATATTCCAAGTGTATAGATGTCCTACTTTTTCAAAAATTATTGTATCTTGTACGTTTTTGTATCTCATGTACCGTGTCTGTGCAATGTAACTCATAGTATATGAGACTACTCCATACATTAAGCTAATCTTCCAAAGTTTTTTTTTTTAAATTTGCTTTTGTGTCATTGAATAGTAAATTAATTTTTTTTTAATTTTATGTTTATAATTTATTATAAATGATTGCTTATTTATTTAAAAGATTAATGTATTATTTATTTAGTTTAGTCCATCATAAGCGTGTGGATGTTCTATCTTTTTTAAAAATTATTATATCTCGTATATTCCTGTATCTCGTGTCCCATATGTGTGCAACCTAGCTCCTGGTATATGAGTACCAATAAAAAATGAAGGTTTTTTTTTAAAAATTTGTTTCTGTGTCATTGAAATAAGAAATTAAGTATTTTTTATGTTCATGATTTATTAATAAATAATTATTTATTTAGTGAAATATTAATGTATTACTTGTTTAGTGTAGTGTGTTCTAAGCGTGGGGATGTCCTACTTTTTTAAAAATTATCGTATCTCATACATTTCCACATCTCATATCCCATGTTCGTGCAACCTAGCTCCTGGTATATGAAACTATTCCATATATCAAGCTAATCAACAAAGATTTTTTTTATTACCAATAAAAAAAATGAAGTTTTTTTTTTTTAATTTATTTTTGTGCCGTTGAAATAAGAAATTAAATATTTTTTTTCTTTTTCTGATTTATTATAAATGATTATTTATTTATTTATTTGAAATATTAATGTATTACTTATTTAGCGTAGTGTATCCTAAGCATTTGGATGTCCTATTTTTTAAAAAATTGTCATATTCGCACGCTCCTATATCTCGTGTTGCGTGTCCTGTAATCTAGCTCCTGGTATATGAAACTACTACATATACCAATCTAATCAATTGAGATTTTTTTTATTACCAATAAAAAATTTATTTTTTTAAATTTATTTTTTTGTCATTGAAATAAGAAATTAAGTTTTTTTTTTAATTTTATGTTTATAATTTATTATAAATTTTGTCATTGAAATAAGAAATTAAGTTTTTTTTTAAATTTTATGTTTATAATTTATTATAAATGATTATTTATTTTTATTTATTTCAAATATTAATGTATTATTTATTTAATGTAGTAGTGTCCTAAGCATATGGATATCCCACTTTTAAAAATTATCGTATCCGTATATATGTTCTTTTATCTTGTGTCCTGTGTTTGTGCAACCTAACTTCTCGTATATGAGACTACTCCATAAACCAGGCTAATCAACCGAGGTTTTTTTTATTACCAATAAAAAATAATTTTTTAAAATTTATGTTTGTGTCATCGAAATAAGAAATTAAGTTTTTTTTTTTAATTTTATGTTTATAATTTATTATAAATGATTGTTTATTTATTTGAAATATTAATGTATTACTTATTTGAAATATTAATGTATTACTTATTTAGTGTAATATGTCCTAAGCATATGGATATTCTACTTTTAAAAATTGTCATATCCCTACATTCCTGTATCTTGTGTTTCGTGTTCGTGCAACCTACTTCCTGGTATATGAGACTACTCAAAAATTTATCAATCTAATCAACTAAGGTTTTTTTTTATTACCAATAAAAATGAAGTGTTTTTTTAAAATTTATTTTTGTGTCATTAAAATAAAAAATTAATTTTTTTATTTTATGTTTATATGTTTATAATTTAATATAATGATTGTTTATTTATTTGAAATATTAATGTATTACTTATTTAATGTTGTGTGTCCTAAGCATATTGATATCCTACTTTTAAAAAATTATTGTATCCATACTTTTCCATATATTGTATCCCGTATTCGTGCAACCTACCTTCTGGTATATGAGACTACTCCATACATCAAGCTAATCAACCAATGTTTTTTTTTATTACCAATAAAAATGAAGTGTTTTTTTTTAAATTTTTTCTTGTGTCATTGAGATAAGAAATTAAGTTTTTTTATTTATTTTATGGTTTATAATTTATTATAAATGATTGTTTATTTATTTGAAATATTAATGTATTACTTATTTAATGTAGTGTATCCTAAGCATATGAATATCCTACTTTTGAAAATTTATCTTATCCATAAGTTCCTATATCTTGTGTCCCGTGTTTGTGCAATCTACTTCCTAGTATATAAGACTACTCAATACATCAATCTAATCAACTAAAATTTTTTTTATTACTAATAAAAAATAAATAATTTTTTTTAAATTTGTTTTTGTGTAATTAAAATAAGAAATCAATTTTTTTTTATTTTATGTTTATAATTTATTATAATGATAGTTTTTTCTTTGAAATATTAATGTATTACTTTTAGTGTAGTGTGTCCTAAGCATATGGATTTGAAATATTAATGTATTACTTTTAGTGTAGTGTGTCCTAAGCATATGGATATCATACTTGTTAAAAATTGTCATATCTGTATGTTCCTATATCTTGTGTCCCGTGTTCATGCAACCTACTTCCTAGTATATGAAACTACTCAATACATCAATCTAATCGACTAAGATTTTTTTTACTGTGTTTTTACAAGCTTTGGTGTTTTCAATCAATAGGTAAGTGGTAATTGGATTTGTTGTTTGCTTTTGGTTCCTTCAATTATTAATTGGTAATTTCATTTTTAATTTTTTTTATGCAGATGAAAAATATTGAAATATCTACGCGAGAAATACTCATCGTCGTCATGTAGATTATTCAGCTATGAGAAACTTTATTTGGCCACTTCTAATTTTTCATGTCTGGTTTGTTTTCTCCATCATTAATTTTCACCTAGCTACATTCTTATTTCTTTTCCTTATTTGCTATTGGATTATATTTTCCAGAAATTATGGAAAGCAAAGGTGGTAATATTCATGTTTACAAAGGTTGCCTTCTCATGGTAAGGAAATGGTCGTGAATATCTTGAAGCCAGCCATCAGAATATAGTTAAAAGAGTTTGTTGCGGATATCAAGATCATAACTACTTTGCATCACAAAAACATTATCTCCCACTTTGGGTTCTAAAGGAAGTCTAGAATAAAATTTTCATGATACAGATTCTTTTTGCCTGAGATTTCATGAAAATTGTACATTTTACTGTTTAAGAGATTCTTAATTTCTATATGCTCCTTTCTTATGAAGATAACAAGAAGGATGAGAATGCTTTACCAAAATTAAAATACAATAATAATTTTGAGCGAAACTTATATATATATTACTCTATTTATTTTTATTTGTTTTGCATTGTACGAATTTTTAGACTCTTACTGCACCTTTCAAATAAAGCATGATGTGAACGGATCATGCCGTAAACCATGAAATTGAATATATATATATATATATATATAGCCTCAACAATATTTATTGTTTATTGTTTATCGGCCTTTGTTCTTCTAGGGGGAGACATAGGATTAGATCATTCTTATTTGCAAGCCCGGGGGCTTTAT